GAAGACCTTCTGCCCGAAGGAGAGCCTGCCGACAGCCGTGGTCGCCGTGGTCCTTCCGTGGGGTCAGCCGTTCCGTGCGTCCGACTGGCTGCGTGACGAAAAGCTGACTGGTTCGTCCAGTCCCGGAGTTCCAGTCCTGGGAGAGGGGAAGATAGGACCTGGAAGGTTTCTGAGGCTCTGAAGAGAATGGATGCATACCCAGATGAAACGATGGACCCCCATGTAGTAAGCGTAGAGAGTTTCACAACACCATTCTCACCACAGGTCCATTCTCAGGGTCGGTCCGGCTGTGGGGGTCAAGTGGGATGGGGGTGGATTGGAAAAGAGATATTACCATAATATGACTCTATAAATAATATATATATATAAATATATATATTACATATTATTTATAATAAAGTTATAAACAATATGACTATCTCTCTCTCTCTCTCTTAGCGAGTTGATGCTGTTGTGATGATTGTGTGTGTGTCCCTGAGTAATTCGTCAGTATAATGTTTGATGTTTGTTGCTCAAAGTAGTTCGGGGCAACTTTGATGAGACATGCATATCGAAACATGGGGACTCGGGGACGCACAAATCACAAAACCCAGGATGGCAATCCCACTTATGTGTTTCAGTTTCATCTCCTTTTGACAGGGTTTCTCGCACATCCATTCCAAACTGTGTGCCTTTCTGCGTTTTTATAGATAAATCTAGGCGATGAATCCCCAGAAATCACTCGAAACCGCACCCCAGAAAACCGTCGACCTCTTTCTGCGAGTTGACGGTGGCCCATCACGACGTGGTCACCACGAGGCCGGAGCGCGATGTGGGCGGTACGCCAAACCACCCTCCCGTCGATGGTGGGACCCGACGCGTGCAGTTGATCAGTACATGGACCGTGAACACCACTGGTTGGGAAAACAATCTTCCAGGTTACCAGCAAGTCAGGGTCTATGCCAGTTTTCGGGAGTGTAATTCCAATCTAGAATGTGCAGTAATTCCATTCTCTCTGTCTCTCTCCCCCTCTCTCCCCCTCCCTCCCTCCCTCCCTCTCTCTCTCTCTCTCTCTCTCTCTCTCGTTGTCTTGCCTGTGAATGATATCCCGGCCAACACCCTTCAGCAAATAGCAGCCCTCCTGCCAGGCAAACTGCCCCAGTGTCAAAAAACACCTCGCAGCAGCGATATCTGCTATTGACACCGTTTTCTACTTGACGCTCGCTTCCCGGCGGGTTGCAGAATTGGCAAACCGAAATACTCAAACGAGATGATATGAGATGATGATGCAACACATTCCAAGGCGAGAGCTCGAACTACACATTCGGTGTGCAACAAACACCCATCAGTTATGCAGGGTCATTGCTGACCCCTTGGAAGGTGCTGGTAGTGACAGACCAGAATGACTGAAATCTTAGCACTTCGTCGTGCTTCAAATCCTTCGGATGGCAGACTTAGCCTGGCTGAGCATCCCCTCCAGTCATGAGTCCTACACTCCAATGCACTAAAGGGATACGACAGGAATGTGCATCAATACTGACATGCTCGGAATGCTCCGGGAAACGCGAAACAGCTGGGCTACACCCACCCGCGCAAACATATATATATAGACTCTGAGAATGCACAACCCAGTGGCTCTGAAAACATGTTCATCGCTGGAAAAACATTTTCCTCTACCACCCAGTGGCTCGGGGGGATCCTTCTGGGTCTCTGCAGGTAGAAATCTCTTCCATGGGGGGAGTTGGGATGTCCGTGACCCTCCGTGCACGCTGTCGGTACGACTTCTTCCACACAGAAGTAGATGGCGCGACATCGGGTTTTCCCCCCCCAAAAAAACGATGTTTGCCGGCGTGCGCGGCGGATCACGGCGACGAGGCCTCCATCAAGCTTTGAAAGTCTACCCGACTGACGATTTCCCACATATGCTCGTTCCAGTTGTTCTCATGGATGTAAGCGGCTTCTCGTGCCTGAGATCGGGCAAAGGCACACCAAAAGCAACCAGAGACGGCGCATACTGGGAGTGTGCTTTAAAACGCTGCGATGCTGTACAATATCCGTACCCTGGGAGTAATTCTTGGACAAATCATCGTAAAATCGCCCAATTGACTCGTGCCCACTGCGGCCCAATTTGGAGTGCGACTTCGCCGGACTACCTGGGATGAAGCGACAGCACCTGGCACCGCTCCAGCTCCATGTGACCACCAACTGTCACCCCCGAGTCTTCAGTTCAAATGACTCGATTTTCACCGACACAGTCCAGAGTAACCCGTTCGGGCTCCAGTCGTACTTCAGGTGGTTTGGACCCAACCCAAAAAGCTTCTGAGAAGGTACGACTGGAGCCTGGACCGTCAAACGCCCGGACCCGGTGCTGGTCTCAACGCGTCTCACGGGGTGCAACTCAGATACGCCGGTGGTGCTGCAGCACGCTAGCTCACTCCGTGCAGTTGGAAGAACTGGTACCACCTTCCACTGTCCTTTCAGAGCAGTGAAGGGTAGGAGAGCGTCTGTATAGATAGTTAGTTGGTCGTAAGGCAAAGAACACAAGGGTTGTAATATATTGTTGCGCAGCCACCAACACACCATCTCCCACACAACTCTTCAATCATTGAAAGATTAGGCAACATTTAAAGCCATTTAAAACATCTCTTAGAATCATTTAGCACTGTGTCGAAAACATTCCGTCAATCATACATGAGATGACATGTTATCAACATGCACAATGTGGGATCTAACGCCTGGCTTACTTACGAAAGTCAGGTGTTGGCTTACAGGGCATCATTGCTGCTGTCGCTAGGCTTACGCGTGACGAGTTCTAGCACGAACACACAGCGGCAGCTTGCTTACGCACATGAACTTTTACCAAGCATTACAACAGTCAGGTGGATTAAGTGGAAAATGACGACGATGTTGATGGCGAGTAACTGCTACTGTACAACCCCAGAAGCTGTGCTCTGCTGGACCCTGCTGGTCACCAGACAGTCTTGGAAGAAATTACAGTAGCAGGATTTGTCAAGACCTTCTCCAGTAGAGCTGAGGTATCTGCCAGGGATGGGCAATGAGCATCAAGATTGTCGGAGATTGATTGCACAAGGCGACGCTGCTGCGCTGCTGTTTGTTTTGCAGTTCCGGTCCAGGAAAGGCTTTGCAGGAGGCGGTATGGGCAACCACACAAATTTGCAACTAAGCTTGCGCGAGACCTTACGCGGAGCTTCGTATGATGGCAACTTGATGGCAAAAAGTAGGGTTTCGTCATGCTTAGTCTATACTAGTCTATATAATATCTGACTATACAGAATGCATTGACCAGTGCGCTGGAAACAAAGGAACATGTCTACGGTAGAAAAAAATAGTTTCATGTAATAACCGCATGTATGTGTTCTCCAAACATGCGTAGTACCTGCAGTATGCAACCTTAGGGTTTTGCTTACGAAACTCATATGACATGTTGGGCGCAACCTCCTCAACATGTGCCAAAACCTTGGCCTCGGTCGATTCGTCGATACATTGGACGTCACGGAGTTGCCACGTGGCATGTTTGGACCCAACGACGGCATGAGCACCGTACGGCAGAGCACGACAAATCCTGCACATCCTGATGCGAAAAGGTGTGGAACGACCAGAGTTCATCAAGGAGGAACCGTTGGAACATCCACCGTACTTCTGTGATATTCTGTGATCTCTAATTATAGACTTCCGCAGGTGCCAAATCCCCGCTGCCTTCCCGTCTCTGCGGCCATGCCAAGGGGGCTGCGATGGGCGCCCATCTCCTCGAGCCCGGAGAGGTTAAGGGTATTTAGGTGATTTAGACCTGGCAGTTCTTGCATCACCCCAAAAATATGGGCTGGAGGAAAGAGATCGAAGAACTTGTGCATGTTCGATCTAGAGCCTAAGAAAAGGAGTACAGTAGGTGGATCGTGGCAACCTTTTTGGCACCTGATTTTGGAACCACAGCGCTCCCGTCCCAACGATTCGAGGAAATGATGGCCGAGTTGAGGATGGTACCTGTAAAATAGTCTATAGATAGGGTTCTTCAACGGGTTCTTCAACCTCTGTTGATTCAATTGGTTTATGATCTTTAAGAGTCCAGGGTCACCCTGGAGGGATCCCACCCATCAACACCAAGGCTCAGCAATCTCGCTGCTCGTGCCATCGGCATCGAATCCCCCGCGCCGCCATGTCCTGAGCCTCTGACATCACCGGTCCATGGAGAACCAACGCGCGACCGGAGAATCAACGGATCAACTTCGATGCAGTCACACAGAACATCGGCAAAATAGAAGGAAGAACAAGACTTATTTCTAAGAGGAACCCATGAATCAATTGAAAAGATATTGACCAGGAGTTCCAAAGCGAATGGAGTTTGGACCCCGAGCGAATGTTCTGAGCACCCTAATTATATCGCATTGAGAACTCGCCTTTGGAACTGCTGGTAAATTCTACTATACTATATAGTAACTTAAGACTATATATAAGTACTAAATTAGTATGTAATTATGTTCTTTTCTGTGCAAGTTCTGACAATCTGCAGACATTGGCACCCCTGACAAAAAGATTAAAAAAACGAAAAGGTGAAACGGACCAATTTTTTGACGGGATCCCCGCACCCGTTGTTTGAGGCCCCTTCGACCCCTGCAAAAGGAGAGCCGAGAGAAAAAGAAAAGACTCCCCCCGTCCGCCGAGAAGTTCAGGTCCATTTCTTGGAAGAGCCTAACTCAGTTCTCCTGACACATGGGAGTTCCACAGCTCTAAGACTCTAAGATCAAAGGAAACCGGATTGAGGCAACAACCGGAATGAGCTCAACCAAAAAAGGCATTCCATTGGTTAGAAGGTCAAGCAACTTGAGAAAGAAAAGAGGCACCTGCAACTCGCCTGACTGGCACTTTGTTGCTCGTCCGTTTCAACACCAATGTGTGAACCAAATCCCTCCGTTACATCCCAAAAAAAGGCCCGGACTTTTCAAACAGCCGAAATCAGCCAAATGATATCCACAGGAACGCCAACACCCGGCAACACCGGGCACCTGCAGAGTACCCGAGCTGAAGGATGGGATTTCTCTCCAGCCTTGGCCGACGCGAAAAAGGTCGCCGGGACGTCGCCGAGCTTCGTGGCGCGGCGGTGCGGTGTAGCCTTCGCACTTGGTTCAGCACGGCTGGTTTGGCCGTACCGTGGTGTATCACAGCCTGCAATATCCTGCAATCAGCAATCGCCATGCAAGACACTGACACAGCAAATTGCAAGCATCCACGGGGAGATCCCTACAGGAAAGAAACTGCAGGTTCTGCAAGTTCTGCATGTTCCCCACGGCACGGGTCTGTCACGCTACTGTATATATAGACTTGGAGCTGTGAACGAAGAATTGATCATGTCAGCGGCATGCACATACTAAGCATAATTGACATATTATGTTGACATTCAAGAGCACACAACGAACAAACATGATAAAAGTCATGGAGAGGACCATTATTGGTGCTGTATGGAAGGGAGCATTTCGCATCCCACAGGAGCCAAATCACCGGCAGACTCATCCAGCCTGCGAGAAAGATTTCTTGAGATAGGACGAGAGATGGACAGGTTTTTGATAATTGATGATATATTTGGGTCTCATGGTTTTGAGTGGTGTACATCCTTGTACATCCTTTCTCTCCTTCGACTGAAGGTCTTTCACTGGCCGAGAACTCTCTCAAACACCTGGCCGTTTTCACCAGGTGTCTAGCCCGAAGATGTGGGTCACACCAAGCCCGACGGTCGTCCGTTTAGCGAGTTCGGCTTTGCAGGTAGGTGTTCCAGGTCAATTCAATGGCCTCCTTTTCCTTTCTCGAATACTGAGCTCTAGTGAGACTCTTGGTAAAGGCATGCATACACTGCCCCTCATCCATGGTAGTCCGGTTGGACATGAGAGGGCTCTCCAACCTAATAGCAATGGCCAACCTAGTTCCCCACAGCCTCCTTCAAAGCCCACTGCGGTGCTCTCACCCGTCACTTCACCGGGGCTCCTGACCCGGCTCCACCGGCAAAAGATCCTCGGCCACCGGCGCAACAGCATGAAGGTGGGACCCCTTGCGGTTCCGACATCGCAAGCAAATGGGAAGTCCCACCTCATCCTGCGGAGGGGACCTACGGTACCACCGATACCTCCCCAACGGTCCAGCCACCCCTCTCAAATCAGCCCTTCGACCTCAAGCTAAAGCGAGTGGCAGAACGTTATTGAATTGTTGTTGGTGGATCTACAAATGAGTATACATGCATACTCCCTCAAGCCATTTCGGTAGCCTTGTCGTATTCTGAAACAGCTTGTGTAAGAAGTTGTCAAGACATGTCAAGATTCTTCTTCTCAATGGTTGACAAGAAAGGCTCATTGGACCCTCAGGGTTTTGACCCTGACAACTAGGATTTTGGACCTCAAACATGTAGCAGTTTGAGGTCCATGAGCCTTGGGAGGGAACAACAATCTTCCTGAAGGCCGCGCCGTTCACGTCTACTGTCGGTCGCCACCGTTTGTCCAGTCAAAACCCCTGAGTTCTTCGCCACTGCTATGGCTCCCCCTGGCGCAGCTGCACTGCAGCACGCACTTAGCAGCAAGAAGCACTGCAGGCCACATATGACTGGCCCACACTATCCGGCTCTCTATCCGACTCAGGGCCTATAACTTCATCAGCTCACCAAACGCATTGAACAACATGGTGGGTTGGGTTCTGTGTTGTTTGTTTGGAAGACTCTGTGACCTTCACTGCTGTAGACCGCACCTGGGTTCACCTTGCTGATGTCCTGGCAACGATTGAATGTCAGGGTCGGTGGACGGTTGTGGTGTACATGCAATGTGTGAGAACGAAGAGAAAAGGACATGAATCCTTCGCACGAAAGCCAATAAAATGAAAGCCAGAAAGACCTTTCATGAATGAACTCATGTTTCATCATCTGTCATTTAGATTATGGTCGTTCACTTCCCTCTCTTACAGGCTCCTCTGCAGCTCTGTGCAGCTCTGCGCGTGCTGGACCATGAGTCAGAGACACCGAGGATGACTCCGACACCCGAAAGACGGGCAGCGATGGAAGTCCAAGGAAGACTCCAACTCCGACACAGCTTCCGGCGCTTCCCTAGGGATCCGGTCGTACCTTCTCAGGTGATTGGAGGCACTGTTATGTAGGTTTGGAGGGCCCAGTCGTACCTTCTCAGAAGGTGATTGGATCCCTAGGGGTTTAAACAAAGTCCTTAGGACTTCCAGATCTTCCGTCCCAAAACGGCAGCTCCTGGATCCGGAAGACCATCTCATCCACACAGGACAGCCTTGCCTGGGTCATGGCTCATGGCGCATGGCGCGTGGCGCGTCTCGAGGGTCACGCGTCGTTGCGGTCGACTTGCACCTCGCCGAAGGCTTCGTGAGATACACGGCTACGTATCGGGCAAATGAAGGGGGTGAACAAAAGACATCGGATGTTGCATTCTGGTTTCCATGACCAATGACATCCAATGACCAATGACATACTAGTGATAATTACACGGTCTAATATCTAATATTGAGTGTCATGCGGATCCCGCCATTTTAATTAAAGACAAGACAAGACATGACAAGACCATTAAAAAACAAGCCATCAGCGTAAAACCAAGTCAGCGAATTGTGACATGCGGCATCACATAAATCGATTAAACTAGCCCGAAAACAAATCAACTGAAGCAACGAGTGATAATTTTCTTCGAAGGAGACTGAGCACCTGAGACCACATCTTGCTTCAAACTTTTAAATATGTATTCCAGTACTGTTATGGATGCATTGGTCGTATCATATTGCTTTGGGAACTCCTCATAACAGGGCGCATTTTGATTTGTATCAGTATCAACATGATGCTTAATGAAGGCTTGGGTGACTTCTTGTTGGAGCGGGACGCAAAGGTGGAAAGGAATTCCCGCCCAGATTCGTTTCTTAAAACCAAGCCGTTCAAGACTACGTTTTATATGGAGCTTTAATATGGATCTGTGTGATCGTCTCGAGAATTCTCAGGATAATTCGACAGTTTCTGACTGCAGGCGCAGGGGGGCGTTGATTTCCCGGTCGAATGATTGCACACACGAGGATCTAGATTAAGAGCCTCAAGAGTACCGGAAAACCATGTGGAAGATTGTGGAAGTACCCGCGTGAAGCGCAAACCGCGGACCGCAGACGTTGATGCTGACCGGATCATCGTGAGGCCGTTGGACGTGGCCCGCTGGAGGCCATCCCAGACCGATTCCACGAAGAGGGTTTGGTTGAGTGGAGAATGTGTGCGTGCAAGATGGCTCCCATATGGTGGTTGATCTAAGTTCCTTCACACGAAGACGCCATTCTTATGTCGACCTTTTGATCTACCTTGTAGTTTTGCATCGAATTGCTATGCGACTGTTCCCTTGTCTGCACTTATCCCTGCTACCAAAAGCCGAAGCACCACCGTCATAGTGGGGGTGCTGCTTGAAAATCAAGAACTGCCATCCCTGTCTTCTGGGCAGAACCCCTCAAGCCAGGCTGGAAGAAATCCGGGTTCCTGAGACCATCTCGGCAACCAGGCCTGACATCCCAACGGCACCAACTTCCAATCGTTCTTCTCCACCAACGTCACCCGCACCATCTGCCACGGCGTTTCTTTGAGACAGCTGAGGTGATGAGACCACCGATGGTGGGGGTTTAAGGAATATAGATAGAGGGAAAAAGATAAACGATATGGCAGTAGATCAAAACAGGGGGGAACCCTGGTTGACCACCGAACCTGAATAGCTTAGCAGGGTCCAAAGGTCAACCTACCAGGGTGAAAACGAGCGGTTTTGACCCACTGCCCCAAATAAGTTTAAAGGTACTTCATAGGGACCCCCATCTGCCTAAGACATCTTGGGGTGCCAGTGCCATCCAGTGCCATGTCTCACCTCTGAAACCACCGACCAAACCCTTCATGAACCCATGATTCTATATTTTAGGAATCTATCAAACAGTAATGTGCGAGTATTGTACCAAAACATACTGTAACATAGTGTACCACAAGAGTGGATCTTTCATAAACCTTGCCCCTTGCCTGCCTTGCTTACTTCAACAGGAACCCCGGTCGCATGCCTTACGTCTTGGTTTTCCAAAGACAGCGATGAGAAAATCCGTCGGTCTTGACGTGAAACCAGGAGGTAGACTCGTGTCCAGCGAAAGCTTCCTTGCAAGTCATGTAGACTCTTGATGACTCTTACCCCCCCCATGCTGGAATTGGACATCCTCCTCAAATGGGGGGTCGGTTTTATCAAGAGTCTATACATAGCATGTGGCACATCAACGGCACATACACGCTGCAACGCTTCTTGAGGTCTCGATGGGTCGAAGGTGCGCTGGAGGTCTCGGTCGCACCGTCACAAGGAGTGCCACAGGATTCGAACGGTTGCGTCAATGAGTTCAATGAACAGTGTGGCGCCCACCGAGCTTTATCCAACGCAAAGCAGCTTTCTCGGTGCTGACTGGACTAGGCCTTGCTGACTGGACGGTCACACGACAAGATTGGAGTTTTCAGATCGCAATCCACCCAGTTCCCTAGGTCAGTACTACGTGGGCTCTTCTCCGCTTAACTGAAGTCGTTTCAGAGATCCGGTGGCCATCCACCCCTTTCAGCTAAGGGTGTCTGTAAATGTCTGTAACATGCCCCTTTTGGCTGACTTTCCAGTCCTACGAGCGCTCCCCACTCCGAGCGCCGCCTTCGTCTTCCGAGTGCCACCAGCTGCCCTGCGAGCATCGGTCGTCCTTCCAACCCGATCCACCTTCGTGGCTCAGGTCCCTTCCGCCCACCGTTCACTCGTTGCGCCTCCTTGCCGGGCTCCACGAAGCAAGCCTGGCGCGGCAGGGCTAGGGGGTGGGTAGGGGCCAGAGTGGTGTCATTGATCTCTACACTCCGACGAACGGAAACCACCCTGTTCGTAAAGGAAAGTAGTCTTCCAAGGGACCATCTTCCACTTCCATGTTGGTCAAGAGTGTAGTAGGAATTGTGCAAGACCACGCAACTGAGCCTCCTTGTGCACTCCATCTCCAACGTCTCACATGAAAGCAGAGAAAGCTCGGCTTCGCTTGGGAGTCATAGATTTTAAAAAAAGTGTGAAGGAGGGCCTGGACGCATGCAAAAATAATAAACTCTTGCAACATGTCACGGATGTGAGCTCTTCCAAAATCTTCCAATGTTGAATCCATGGGGGGGTTGACCTCAACATCATGATTGAGGTGTGAGATATATTTTTTGCAACACAACATGTTGCTTCTCTCAGCAATTCGCCACAATGCCCTGCTTCACCAGGGCCAATCCTCTCTCCCGTTGAACCCTGCGCTCGCCGCGAGCGCCATGCCCCGCCTCCTGATACGCCACTTCCCGCCGTGGCCCTCGGTCCGGATCCGCCTGTTCGAACGGACGGGCACCGAGACCCTTGAACTACCGCCTGTGGCCTGATCGGCAGTCCTATGTCAGTTTTCTAGACAGGTCGTGTCTGGGTATTGTGGCGTGGCATACCGATCAGTTGGGGGTGGTTGATGTGGGTCAATGTATAATGTAAATATGCCAGTCACTCCCTTGTTCCTGGGTACCGGGTAGCTGGATCCGGTCATCCTGATTCCCTCCGAGTCACCAGTGAGAGCGTGTCAGGACCTGACACTAACCAGCCCACCACGACCTAAGGGATCTCAAGACAGGACACCCCCAAAAGGGGTTGCCAAAGAAGACTGGTATTGCGGTACTATGGTACTACAGAAATAACACAATTTTTTAAAACAAACACTGGGACCTGGTCAGGTGACTCTGAAAGAGTCCGCCTATCTCTCCCTAAGAATCATGGACCCTCAAAGGCTTGAGGCGAAGGGTTGCTTCGGGTCCAATGCCTCTCGTTGGCTCTCAAACTCCGGAGACTCCAGAGTCCACTCATCAGGTTCTGAAAGAATCCGGATTTTTTTGTCAAAAAATCATGGGTCAAGTATAGAGCTTTGTAGTTCACCTGTCCTTATATACTAGGTGTCCACTTCCCTGTTGGTCTTCAGAACAACATCTTCCCGCAAATCATTACATATCAATACATGTTCCATCCACTTCCATAGTTTCTGTGTTGAAGTGTCAATACCCCGGTATCAAGGGATTTCGTCAATTCACCGCCGCCCACACGCGTCATGTTTCCGCATTTCACCTGGTTCAGTGGTGTACATCGCCTCTGTACATCGCCTCTGCTCTATCTTCTAATGCATTTTATGCAGCGGAAAATACATCGAAATCCATCGAAATCCTGTATACATTGAAGATAGAACATTGAAGATAGAGCGGAGGCGAATAATAACTTATACTTCAACGCTTATCGTACCCGCAAGTACACCGAAATCCTGTCAGCCGCCTATGTCCGTTCGAAGATGTTCGCGTTGAACATGTCTGAAAATGCCGCACACCCAGCCTCCTCGGCTTTCTCAGGCGAAATCTCCACCAGCTCATCCTCACGTGCGTGAATTGAGGTGCCATCGTCACAACCAAATCGATCCAAGTGGCCTACTGAGGGGATCACCGAATTGCCTCAGTTCTATCGTGGGTATATCATACTAGCAGTAACAATGGATGATGATGGTGATGGTGATGATGATGATGATGATGATGATGATGGTGGTGGTGAAGATGATGACGATGATTTCTCAAACAGTGATAATCTTTTACCGAGTGTTACTGGTAATTGATGGTAATGGGACACAATCTAGTTCTATCATGTTCTATCGGAGTTCTAGAGGTTCACTTTGACCTGCACCGTAGGGTCCCTGACATTTCGCAGCTGGAATCCTGCTCGACCAGGGCTTGAAGACTCTCAAAAGCTCGCATATATAGATCGAAAACACACACACACACATTCTCGAAGGACAAGGACCATGATCACCTAAACATGTGGAAACCAAATTTGCTGCTCGGATTCATGCTCATTATTTTGAAACCTGGCAAGCGACCCAGCTTTGACCCACATTCAACGTTGTCATGTCTTTTCGCGACACCAGTGGCCTGGCAGCCATAACGAAACCGAGCGATGCGCGCTGCACGTGCTGATGCTTCAATCTCCAGGCCCGGTAAAGACAAGAAGTGAATCTAATGAGAACATGTTCGTTTTTTTGCTGCACCTCAGCCTTTGGACTAGCCACTCGCCTACATGCACTATAATAAAGCCAGATAGAACCATTTCCTGCAACTGTCTTGATCCTTTTGCTGCATTGTCTGGTCAGATCAGCTTGCAGTCAGCATGTGCACAGAAAGCTCTATCAGAAACGGATCTGTTAAAAGATGGGGCAGCGAGGTGCTTCCCGTGGTTGCCGTGCCCATGTCTTTTGAGAAAGTTAGCATCATCAAAGCGTCTGGATAGCAAACTGGCAGAGTGCGGCTTACCATCTCTATCATTAACATGGCTGGTGGTGGCAACATCAGCGGGAGCATCGACCCCAAAAGGATTACTGCCCTCTGTGCACCTCTCCGTGGGAGCTGACCGACTCCCTTGGGAAACATGTCTAGACTCGTCCAAGTCTAGACTCGTCCGGAGGCGCAGGTCGTGCAGGGCGATCCATTTAGCAAAAGGAACCTAAGACCAATGGCCTCCAACCTACTAGCATTCTGTTCCGATCCATTTAAAGAGCACTCCAAACCCAAGTGCCTTGGTATTCATCATGCTCTTCTCTCAACGGCCGGTCTTGCAACTTCCTCAGGGCAGTTTTGATGTCAACGCCTGAGAGAGAGAGAGAGAGAGAGTCGTTCACTTGAGAGAGTCGTTATGGGGACACAAGAATTTAATAGGAAGCAGGGTCACTGGTTTGGGTTGCTTCAACGTGGCGAACATTAGCGAACTGTCCTGATGGTGAGCCAGTGTGAGAAAGGGTCCTATTTGGACGTGTCAAGCTTTCCCAGATCAACCACATGAGCCACGCACCTCCATTTCCCCCGCGTTCGACTCCCCCCCCCCCCGCGCGAGAGCTGCACTCGAAATCCGCCTTTATGGATGACCTCATAGACTGCGGCACAGATCGGCATTTCCACCGAAAGCTTCTCGGCCAGCAAATGCACGGCCAAGCTGGTTTTCACACCTGGAATTGCTGAATCTTGGAAGAGAACAGCTTGGCTTAGCCTCATGGAGGGTGTATTTAGTGTTTTGGATTAGATTGCTTAGCAACAAATTAAATTGAGTGTTTTTGTACCAAAATCTGAATTGGGACAACAGAATTTAAGAACCTGACAGCAACAACTGGGCACCTGGCGCTGAAAAGACATCACGATCACAGGGAGAATGCACTGGGTCCAGCATAGCAGTGAGTCCCATGTTTCCCCAAGCGTTCTGTTCTCCCAAGAAATGATAACATAGTCTCTGGAGTCTGGAGTCTCGCCGCACTGCGGTAAGACTCCTGAATGAATGTGGCCAAGTTCCTGCCTTAGGAAGCCTTAAACCAGTTTGGAAGACGATGTCAATTTACCAAGTGACCAGGCAACTGCTACCTTGTTTGGGACCAGTCTATGAATTGAAGGATGGAGAAGCTCGAAGGGTTTGGGGGTTAACCCCCGGTGGATTCGCGGTGGTTCTAGGAGAAGTGAAGTTAGGAACAAACCATCCCCAACTGATTCTTGTCAGCAACATGCTTTGGGCATCCCTTATCTGACTTGGTGTTTGAAAGCTTCCAGGCAGTCGAAAAGATCGTACACAAGAGGTAAAGACTTTCCCACCTACGGGAGTTTTCAAGAGGGAAAAGGCAAACCCCATCTGAGCTAACAATCCCAGGGCGCCCTCGGCCACCGCGAGATCCTTGTTGAAGTTCTTGGCCGATTCCTCTTTGCTTCTCCTGAAGCTGCTCTCTGCTCGTTTCTTGAAGGACAACAACAGGACGCGACACCAAAAGCTGTGTACAACCCTGGAAGTCCAGTCGACCATTCAAAACCATGGTGGACCTGGTGTTGTAGTGTAAAATCCTGAGTAACACAATGGTGGTTCGGTAAAACTCATGACAACAAATGGTGGTTGGAAGCCTAGGGACAAGGGAACGTTTGGCGTTTGAAGTTGGGGATCCCAACTCGAGTCTCTTTCGAGGAACGTTTGGGGTTCTGCCAGGAAGTCTAACACCTCAAGATGGTCCGCATCAGCCGACAGTGAAGCCACCGGAACTCTTTTCAGGGCACCTTTTAAAATGTCTAAACATGTCTTCAAAGATGAGTACTCTACTATATAAGTTTGAGCAAGCAAACTAATTGGGAAGAGATGGGAAGAGGTAGGAGGCGGGAAGGAGATAGTAAGGCCGAAGGGTACAGATCGTCTCGGTGGTTCGGAGCAAGTTCTGTGGCAGCAAAACAGGGAGGCTGATGAACTTGCTCCGTGGCAGCCAAATCTGATTCGATGGTTTTGTGTCCTTTGGCAGCATTGAACCTTGAATGTTGATGTTGGTTTCACACCCACCCGAACGGGGCTGCCAAGACCATATCCGTTCGTAAATCTTCGCTGTCCGGGTGACCGGTGCACTTCAATATCTCCGACTCCAGAAACTCCACCTCTTTGGTCCAATTCGGACAAGCACATACGGGATGCCCATCCGGCAGATGATGAAGCTTGTTGGTTGTTTCTTTGGGCGGGTCATGTCTGCGAGTCGGTGCAACCAGTTTCCTTGGAGCTTGCTGTCGCCTGGTGTCGGTACAAACTGTGCTCGTTGCAATTGATCAGACCCTTTATCCACCGGATCCACATCAATCGATTACATCGAGGCAGTCGTGCCCAATGACTGGTTCGGCGCGAGCGCGACGCTTCGACGCTTCGTCCGCACCGTCTGGAACCGATGTGTTCGGCGCCGCGACGGTAGACTAGTAGCAACTGGGCGAAGTCGGGTGTACATTCGGCATAACAATACCCTGGATGTCCAAGACCATCAAAAGCATGGTGGACCTGGTGTAGTGTAAAACCATTGTAAAACCCTTACTGCAGCAAAACCATGGTGGTTCGATAAAAAACCATGTAAAAACCATTGAAACAATGGCGGTTGGAATTTTGAGGGAATAACCATGAATAGCCTCAGGTGGTCGAGTAGCAGCTGACTGACAATTGTCAGCCATCCAACTTTTCCCGCCCACCTAGAGCTGAATGGTCCCACGTCCCACCACTAGCTCAAGCCTTGGATTTGGAGGTGTTAAAAAAGGAAAACACTTTCCGGAGCCTGCAACTGCATGAACTGCATGGCTTAGTATATTCCAATAAGGGTGTTAAACTGTCACAAGGCCGGGTGTCTACTTTGCTTAGCCGGATTGTTCGACGGCATGCATGAACACATTTTGTGGTGCAGGAAAAACATATGATCTGTTTTCAATTGTTTTCATGTGATTGTCATATACAAATAGATCCTGATTGACACAATGCGGCAAAGTTCCTACCTCTTTCCTGCTTGTTGTCCGGCTAACTTGTGGGAGATCATTGAAGCTCGAAGAGTTCAGTTTTCTACAGCAGAACCCTATCCGTCCATCAGCCACACTGGTGTCAAGCGGCTTCAAAGCGTATGTTGGTCAGTGATCGCGATTGGACTGTACAGTCGATCTGCTTTGAAGTGATGTGGTCCTAAGTCCTGGTCCTAAGTCCTTGAGATGGGTGTGGCTCACAGGCCACTTTCCCATCATTGGAACCCTTCCCATCATAGGAATTGGCAGCATTCCATCATGTTGGCATGACTTTTCAAGACATTCAACCCAGCCACACAAAACATGGCCGGCTCCTTTCTCATAACACCCAAACCATCATGGTGATCATGGACATCCCAATCTTCCCAACCCTTTCAATCAAAGACTCAAAAAAGGAGGACCATAGAGCACCCTCCCTCATCCTCCTGAGGATCCTCCTTTTCTGCCCAGGCTCTTGTGCTCCGGAAGGCTGTTGGAAGCCATGGTGTGGCCCGTCGTGTAGTTCCTCGACAAGCTGCTAGAACAGGTGAGCACCAAGTCTCCCACACCTCGGTCACACGCGACCGGGGAGAGGACTTCGTGTTGGTTCCACGTGGAGGGTTCCACACGGACGTAGCGGATTCACAGCCACTGGTGTTCAAACCCGGAAATGAACACCTCATGCGGATTCAAGCAGCCAGTTCAGGGTTGTATATGAGTTGGTATGTGTTCGTATGTGGCCTCATTCTGTAAAAGCAGGCGAAATGTCCCCAGCGGTTCTCATTCAAAATGGAGGTGATCAGATTGAGCTCATTCCGCTGAATGGGGGTGAAGATGGGTGAAGCCATCCTGCACATCTGTCCCATCACCCCAGGTCGAATCTGAAGGAAATATCCCATCTCGATCCCTCTCGCTCATGGCGGTGCCAATCACCCTCCATCACCCCAGGTCACAAGGACAATGACCATTTGCCTCCGTCCGCGTCGACCCCACGTCCGAAGAGCGCGCGATCGGCCTTTGCACCGGACCGGGTCCTTCCACAGTTTGGGGTCGGAGGTGATCGATGTA